GCTGCTCCACACAGAGAGCTGTCGGCCAGCTGCTCCACACAGAGAGCTGTCGGCCAGCTGCTCCACACAGCTGTTGGCCAGCTGCATTAGCAATCACAGCTGTGGAAACCCCACGGCACCTGGAACTCCAAGTTTGCTGTGAGTCCGCCCTGACCTTATGACTGTGGGTTTAGGTTCTTATTTTGGTCTTATTTTGTTTTGGAGATAGTGACTTTGATTTGGCAGTTGGGTTGAATTAGGAGGAAATTAGGAAAAGCTCAGGCTTGCCCAGTAACTGTAAGGATATAATTGTGGCTGAGCAAGGGACAGCAGGATGTGAGGGAGGTAAAACTGGGATAGAAAGGTGGACCATGTTGTGGGGGGCCTTGAAACAACAAAAACAAAATGATAGTCTGTGTTGGGCCAGCAGTGAGGATTTCAGCGAGGAAGGCGACTTGCTTGCACATCCATCTAACACAGTCCTCTAGAGAGCGCAGTCCTCGTCCCTGGTCACAGACATCCCAGCCACAGTGTTTCTGTGGTCAGTTCCTTCCTGGCTCTCACTGCCCTGGCACCCGACATCTGCACTTTTCCCGCGAGGTCCCGTTGTCCTCACTGCGGGGCACACTCATAATACTCACTTGATGGGAGCTCATAATTCCCAAGCTAACTTCACTGAAATTCTCACTGTACATTCATTTTCATGACACACATTTGGAGGTTACCTAGATGTCTTGTTAATTAAGATCAAACCAGCATCGAAGAAACATTTCCCTCATACCCAGGGATAATAAAGTATATTTGTATGTTTTTTTACTTAATATCTTAAGACCAGAATCTGAGAGTGCCCCACTAGCCTTTGGTCTTAGGTATCTCTCACTCATTTTTACTTGCGTGTCTGATCTAATCTCTAGGTTTTCAAGCCTATGGCTGATGCTGCTGAGAAGATAGTGCAGAAAAATGGCTTCAGTGCCAAGATTAAGATTATCAACAAGCATTCCACTGAGGTAACCGTAGGGCCAGGTGAGATGAACAGATTGTGTTGTAAGAATGCTCTTACATGATGAAAGGCTTCAGGTTCCATAAAAGTAGACAAGTGATTGCAGAGAAGGGGGCCTTGGCTTTGTGGCGGCTCTGACATGAGCATTTTGTTTCTCTTGAAGTTTGTTTTTCTTCTGGTGAGTAAAGGAGCTCACCACATGCAATAGATATGACTAATGAAGCCTCCTTTTGCAGCTTTAAATAAGTTGGAACTTTTCTGTGGCCCCAGCCTTGAGTTTAGTCAGATGAATGTGAAATTAGTTACATAGCAGAAAAGCAGTTGAGGGATTTCTAAAATGGATGCAATGCTCACGGTATTATCTTGGCCATGCTAAGAAATTTGGAAGCCATTATGTGGCCAGTTGATTGGAACAGATCCATATTTGTGCCCATTCCAAAGACAATGATGCGATAGAAAGCAGAAATTAGGGAACGGTACCATTAATACCATAAGCAAGTAAAATTATGCTGAAGATGATTTTTTAAAATGGCTAAAAGTTGATTTGAACAGCTAGAAATTCAGGCTATGTTTAGAAGAGAATGTTGTCACACATTGAATCAGTACCCTCCAAACTACATGTATATAATCAGTGTGGAAGCTGTGGAGTGATGAGATGTGACAGACCTACTAATTGCAGGAGTTTTAATTGGATACCAGTGACTTAGTGGTAAGAAGGAGTTGTGTCGCCCACCCAAAGGCACACGGTTCATAGCCACTAGTTGCTCCTGAGGATCAGTTGCCTCTAAAAACCTGCTGGTAGGTCAGTTGTGAGTCAGTTCTGACTCAAAGGTATATAACATCAATCAGGTATAAGGGGAGTTTCCTTAGCGTGTAGCCTGTAAAACCTTTTATCTCACTAGGAGGAAAGCAAGCTGAGAGCGGCCTCAGTACCACTAGGGAAGACTAGCCAGAAATGGGGAGTGTCCTTTTGGACTCAGGTCTTTGAGCGTGAGTGAGGAAGCTCTGTGGCCCTGAGACTGTCAGGACTCAGGGACTCGCCAGGGAACACCTGGCATACATACAGATGCTTAGGGAAACAAGAATTTTATTCCACAACTAGGGGAGAGTGAACCCTCTGCAGAGTTGATGCCCTAAATTTGGACTTCAAGCCTCCTAAATGGTGGCAGAATAAATTTCTGTTTGTTAGAGCCATCCACTTGTGGTAACTCTTTTATAGCAGTGTAAGATTAACTGAGACAGATATCATTGCTGACATCATCAGAAGGATCTTGGCTGAAAGCAAAGACTACTGGAAAGATATTTACTTGTATTTGATGACTATGCAAAGGCATTCTACTGTGGATTGTATAAAAATACAGATGATAATGTGAAGAATGTGAATTTCAGAACACATAAGTGTATTCAATCTGTATGTAGACTAGGAAGTAGATCTTTCAACAGAGCAAGAAGATACTGCAGGATTTAAAAATCAGGAAGAGTATATATCAGGGTGGTCCATTTACCTGTTCAGCCTGTAAATACTCTGAGAAGCTAGACTGTATGATGAAGAACGTGTTATCAGAGTTGGAGGAAGATAATTTACAACTTGTAATATGCAGATGACACAACTTTGTTGAAAATAACAAAAACTTCCAGCACTTACTGAGGATTCTTAAAGCCATGAATTGGGATTGCATCTCAACAAAAATCCTCACAACTGAACTAGTAAATAACAGGACAAATGAAGAAAAGATTGAAATTGCAAAGGATTTCCTTTTCCTTGGATCCACAATCATTGCCCATGGAAGCAGCAGTCAAGAAATCATACAACTACTCTATTAGGCAATTCTGCTGCCTAAGACCTCTTTAAAGTAGCAAAGAACAAGGATGGTACTTTGAGGACTAAAGTGTACTTGACCCAAGGCATAGTGTTTTCAGTTGACTGTGTTTCTGTGTTGGTTCAAATTCACTAGTGACTCCTTGAGAGAAAGATGGGCGGCGTCCTCTTGTGTGATATACAGCCTTGAAAACTCAGTGGAGAGTCAGCTGTGAGTTCTGACTCCATCTCAGTGAGTTGTGCTTTTCAGTTATATGCATGTGAATGTTGGACAGTGAATAACAATGACCAATGAAGAATTAATGCCTTTGAAATGCATTGAAAATAATATTGAATAACTGAGGGCTTCCAAAAGAACAAACACATTTGTTTTAGAAGTACACCCAGGATGGTCCTTACAAAGAAAGATGGCAAGACTTTTGTCTTACTTACTTTGAGCAAATTATAGGAAGGGGTCAGTCCTTGGAGAAAGACCTCTTGCTTTGTGAAGTAGAAAGTCAGAAAGATGGAGACTTTCAATGAGATGGATTTACACAGTGGTTTCTGCAATGGACTCAAGCCCAGCAGAGATCGTGAGCAAGGTACCGTACTGAGTAATGTTCTGTTGTTTGGTACAGGGGTTATTATGAGTCGGAGCTGACTCAACAGCGCCTAACAACACCTAAAGACAAGTCTTTTCTCTGAAAAGAATAGTGTTTGCGTCATCTTAATAGTGCTCACTCTCTTTATCCTTCTTTGAGCTGCTTTATTGCTTCTCTTTCATCATCAATGAGACTTGTCTCCTGCGAGGGAAGATGAGTGAGCTCTGTCAGTTTGGGATTTATGAGCCATTAGGAATGTTTACAGTTAATTCTCCTTGATGAATGGCCCCTTTCAGAGTCTGTTTTGTTTTGGAGCTCATTAGAAATCATAATTGCAGAAGGAACATTTTATTATATCATCAGAAGTTAAGTAAACAGAACTACAGAAAGATCCCCTGTAATCCTGTCCTAAACCAAGTGAGATTTGAGGGATTGGCTAGGGATAAGAAACTGACTGATGAGGGATCTGGTCTTGGGGTCCTGGGGTTCTGGATCTGGACCTCATTTTGGTGGCTGTAGCTGTTCCCACAAACCTGGAAGACCTTGAACAGCCTCTCTCTCTGCTATGGTTTTCTCTGTCTGTAGCCCAGGAACCTCTGAAGTACCAGCATCTGGTTTTTGCTTTTTTAAATTTTTGTGCATGTACTGTCAAATCAGATCTGACAGGTACAGGAGGAAATTGTCCCTCCTTCTCCGGCAGAGCATCTGGTGGACTTGAACCGTGTACCTCTGGGATTGCAGTACACCCTCTTGCCACTAAGCCACCAGAGCTCCCCTTACTCATGTTTTTTTTAGTTCAATAACCCAATATCGAAAAAAAAAAATAACCCAATATCGCTGCCCTAGTGGTGGTTCATTTGTGTATCTCCGTTTGCTAATAAGGATGAAAAACGGTCCATGTCTGATTGCTTTATTCCCCCATCCCTTTTTGAATTATCTGTATTTTTGCTTTTGGAGCATTTTTTTTTTCTTATCAGTTTGTGCATGTTCTTCCCCAGCCTCCATCTCCCAGTACCTGGATAAACAGAAGAGTTGGAAGCATAGTGTGGTAAACACCCAATTCCCTTAGTCAGGATTTCCTATTGTTAGCATATTTGCCAAGAAACATTTACAGAAATAGGTATTTTAATTGCTTCTACTAAGCCTTTACAAAGTTATTTACAGACATATGACACTATCCCTAACTGCTTAGCAGAGGTATAGACTTTTTAATAACATCTCTTCTTTCTGCATGCACATGGTGTATGCCATTGAGTCAGTTTTGATTCTTAGCAAAGTGAGATGACAGCAGTTTCTGAGGCTGCTCTTTGAGGGAGTCCCCGCCTGCTCTTCGCTCCTTTGGGTTCCTAGTGGGTTCAAAATGCCAACCTTTTGGTTAATTGCTAAGTGTAAAGCATTGCACTACCAGGGATCCTTGTCTCATTACATACTTGTGTAGTTTTCCTGGTCTGTTATGTGCTTCTGACTCTGTTTTCTTGTGTTTCTCAGATGGTGACATGCCATGCCGTGCCAACATCCTGGTCACAGAGCTGTTTGACACGGAGCTGATCGGGGAGGGGGCATTGCCCTCCTATGAGCATGCACATAGACATCTCGTGCAGGTAGTGGATGGGCGCCTCAGCACACTGCTGTGATCCCCTGGGCTCCCACAGCTTCCATCATGGCGTGTTCAGCATGAATCCGAGGGATCTGTCCACACATCCCAGGAACTTCTCTGTTTCTCACACACTGGTTCTTGGTTCTGACTTCTATACTAAATGTTAGTAGGTTAGAGTCAATAGGCAGGAAGCCACTTTCATTTTAAAAATCAGTTCATCAAATACTTTTTGAGTGTCAAATAGAGATGGGGGTTCTAGCATTTATAGTTGTTTTTAGGTGCTTATCAAGTCAACTGTGACTCAGCAGCCCTATGAACAGCGAATCTGACTCCTGCCCTCTCCTGTGCCATCCTCACCATCTCTGATATACTTGAGCCTGTTGTTAACTCAGTCTCCTCAGTCCATCTTGTTGAGGGTCTCCATCCTTACCTCCAAGGAGCAACCCCAGCTCCCATACGTGGTAGTGAGGTTTTTCATCACCTATAAGCATAAGATTTCTTGTGATCAATTTTGGTATGACAGTGTTTGTTCCTTCACATTAGAACCACCAATTAAACGAATCCCTAAAAGAACAGGTGCATTTAGAATTATGTTAAGGTGGCCCCAGGTTTTGTTTAGAAAGCCACAGGCAACTGTCTTCACTGCCCACTCTCATCTCTGTCCCCTCCTGGCTGCCCTGCCTCTGACTTAAGGAGCCTTGATGGTCCACACAGGCTTCTGTTGCCCTGTGCTTCTTCCTGGATGAGCCAGGCTGCTGGGGTCTTTTATAGAATATTTGTGTGGGGGTAGAAGTGGCACCTTCATATGCCAGGTCTCCTTTTAGGGAGTCAGGAAGGTGAACTTGCAAGGAGGCAGGCAAGTGAGTGGACATGCACGGGTGCAGCCTGCAGCTCGAGTGGTGGTCAGTGTAGGTGAGGCCCTTTTATGCTGGCTGGGCTGTCGATGAAGTCAGTCACCTTGGAAAGTGGTCAAGGGTTGGTCTGGAAGGTGGAAGTTCTTCAAGAAGAGAAACTGGGATGCTTTCACATCCTGCAGTACATAGGAGAGACCCCACAACAGAGTAGCTTCTGGCCCAGGATGTCAGGAGTGCTTCGGGGAGTCAGGGTGATCTGTTACTGCTGGATCCCTGTACATGGCATGGAGAGGACATCATAGGCACAGATGGGTGAAGCAGGAGGCACATGGACAGGATGTTAGGCCAGCCCGAGTAAGCAGTGTGGTCAGCAGTGTCATGATGCCTAGAGGGGACACTGGCTTAAGTGGTCAGTTGTTCACTAGGCTTTGTGATAAGGAGGTGCTGGTGTCTGGGCAGACGCTATGTTAAAAGGACCCTGAGCACTATGCCAAGATGACCACTTACAGTGAGGCTTGAACCCTCTCTTGCTGTTCATTGGGAGTTAATCAGCATGATGACGGTTCAGGTTTCTTTTTTGAGCAACTTCAGTGTCATATAGCTTATTTGGCATTCTAAATCTTTTCAGTTATGGTGTATATTCTTTTTGAAATCTAGTTCTCTCTTTGTTTTTTCCCTAGAGCCTAGGGCAGACACATGATCCACATGTTGGAGTGAGAATTACTATGGGTAACATACTTGTGTTTATTTTTTTTTTCTTTAAAAAAAACACTGATTTAGGAAAACTGTGAGGCAGTACCTCACAGAGCGACCGTCTATGCCCAGCTGGTGGAGTCTAGGAGGATGTGGTCATGGAACAAGCTGTTTCCCATCCACATTCAGACTGGGGTCGGGGAGCAGGTCATCGTCCCTCCCTTGGAGCTGGAGAGGTGCCCTGGTGCCCCCTCTGTCTATGACATCCAGCTGAACCAGGTGTCGCCTTCGGACTTCACTGCCCTCAGCGATGTGCTGCCTATGTTCAGGTACCAGCCTGGCCAGCTGAGAAGTCGGATGGGATATGAGTCTGGAATTTCTACCTGAGTCTGTGGAAGTTCTTTTTTGGTGGGAAAGAAGCCTCACTTCTACCTCTGATGGTAGAAGTTGCTTGCAAACAAATATTGTTGGTGCTTTAAAAACTTAATAACACACAATATGTGAGAAATTAAAATATGTGTCAATTCCTGACTCTTTTTTTGCAGTGTGGACTTCAGCAAGCAAGTCAGTAGCTCAGCAGCCTGCCACAGCAAGCGGTTTGAACCTCTGACATCGGGCCGAGCTCAAGTGGTCCTCTCCTGGTGGGACATTGAGATGGACCCCGAGGGGACCATCAGGTGCACCATGGCCCCCTTCTGGGCACACTCAGATCCCGAGGGGCTCCAGGTAAGAGGCAGGAACTAATAAGCACATGTTCATGGCAATCTCCTGATTGAATTGGAATCCACCGTTAGTTATGGGAACACAGCATGTTGAATCACAGATTCATAGAAGTTTAGTGACAGAAGGGACTATGCCATTATTTAAATTAAAAAGTGAAGAAGACTCACTGTAGGGAGTTGCCCTCTGTGTGGGGTGTGTTCTGGGCTCACGTGTGATGTGCTTGGTCACCTCCTAAAAATTCAGAAATGGACTGAAAGTTATTCCTTGTTGTTGTTGTTGTTATGTGCCGTCGAGTCGCCTGCGACTCATAGCGACCCTAAATCTGCAGTTTAAAATAAAATTTCATAATTTGTCTTCAGTGTATTCATTAGCTTTTGATTGCCTCCATCCAGGATCTAGCTGGGTTTTACACATTGCCTTTGTGTATTTTGTATTTTGAAATCACGCACAAGACAGTAATTTTGGAGAATACTGAATGAAGTCTTTGGCATGCGTGCCGTGCATTCTTCATGAAGTCAGCTCCATACCCTGGGTTTAAAATTGTGTTTAAGCCTGACTTTCCTTTTTCAGATGAGGCATACTCAGCAGGTAGCTGAGAGTAGTGACATGGAGCTGGTGGGACGGGGCCTCGGTGCCCCTTGGACAGTGCCCTTGGATTCCTGTGTCTTCTCAGGCCAACAGTGTGTCAGCAAGCTTCTTCCACTGGCCTTCATGACCTAGGGATTTTTTTCCCCCTGACATCCCTTTAGCCTCTAACCATGCTGTGGTTTCCCTATAAATCACTGATGTTTTGACTCCTGAATGGCAGCGTTGCTCTAGATGCAGCTTAATGACAGTTCTACTTCCATTTCAGTGGCGGGACCACTGGATGCAGTGCGTGTACTTCCTATCTCAGGAGGAGCCTGTAGTGCAGGGTGCAGCCCTCTGGTTGGTGGCCCACCATGATGACTACTGCGTGTGGTACAGCCTTCAGAGAACCAGGTGCGCCTGGAGCCCCCGGGGGTGGGAACTGTTGTGAGTGCAGAAGTCCCATTACAGACCTTATGGGGCCGAGCATGGCCAGCTATGTGTAAACAGGGGTTTGTGTCTGGTTGGCTCTCACCCTGGTATCCTGGTTGGGAGGCCCACTAACCTACTGGCCATGAGAGCCGGTGTCGGCACCCAGCCCTCCTGAGAAGACTGGCTGTGCCCCTGAGTGCACTGGCTTTTTCTGCCGGTGGGACCTGAGTCCCTGCCCTGGTAGGTCACACTCATCTCCCATGTCTGTCATTTGTTCATTTCTTGGCCCAGCCCTGAGGTCGGCACTGATCTCCGCCAGGTGCGACCTATCTGTGACTGCCAGGCTCACCTGCTCTGGAACCGGCCTCGGTTTGGGGAGATCAACGATCAGCACAGGACAGATCAGTATGTCCAGGCTCTAGAAACAGTAAGTGGCTGCCCTCATTGGCTGTGGGTGAGGAGGATTTTATCCCAGGAGCTCACTTCTGGCCACTGTCTCATCCTGGTTTCCTCTGTCCCCTGATCTGTGGCTTCTGCTGACTCTGGGGTGAGGGTTTGAGTAGGAACTGAGCATTACCTCTGACTCCTTGGAGGCCTGCTCCTGGCTGTCCTGTAGGAACCACTCTGACTGGAGACCTTTACCTCTGTGGCACCAACAGATCGTGTGACTCATCACAGCGGCTTCATGCTCCCTCTCCTTCCATCTGCAGCCATAATTCTCAGATGTGAATTACTGTGTAACTCTCTTACTTGCCACCTCAGGCAGGGCTTTTTAACATGGGGGCCCCTAGATCATATCCAGAACTTTTGCATTTCTGGTTTTAGGTAGTATCCAGGCTATTCCAGTGGTGGCCTGGGGTCCCATGTCAGCATCCTTGCCTTTGGGGAAACACGAGATCTTAAGAACTTTGAGTGACAGTTCCTCTCCTGTCCCTGTATCTGTGCTGTGACCACATACTCATTGCTGCTATGGTTGTGTAGACTTCGGCAGGGCCTCTTGGGATGGGTTTTCTTGAGGTGAGGGCTGAGTAACATGGGAGGATGGGGTTGAGGGTACAGGAGATTGTGTAGACCAGGGGGGCAGTGTGACTGGAGTGGGGAACATAGGAGAATGCAGCCAGACCGGAGGTGGTCACAGTGGGAGAGCGTGTGCGTCGATGTAGATTCTGAGTTAAAGGGGCAGGAGGAAAGTGTTTCATTGAGTGCCTGCGAGGACATTTGACAGTCTGCTGAATATCTTGTCGTTCTTGACACCTGTGCTGAGGTGGCTCTTGTCTTGTAGGTGCTGAAGCCAGACAGTGTCTGTCTCTGCGTCAGTGACGGCAGCCTGCTTCCTGTGCTGGCCCAGCACCTAGGGGCGGAGCAGGTAAGGAACAACACCTCTGCCAGGGTCCATAGCAGCCCAAGGTGGGAGTCTCACGCTCTGGGACAGGGCCTCACCATGAGGGCGTCATGTGCTGACCATGATTGTACTGGGCAGTGGTTTGGGTTCTGAGCACCCCGTGCTTGAGTGGGCGCAGGATGTAGGTGTTATCCCGGGAGATGAGGTGTTGTTCAGACGGCCTCTGTCTTGTGCTTGTCTTGCTGCCCTTGAGCTTTAGACATTTTTTTGTCTGTTAAGTTTCTCACACTAATCGCGTGCTTTCTCTTTAGGTATTTACTCTAGAGAGCTCAGCTGCATCTCATAGACTGATGAAAAAAGTAAGTGTCCCTTGTGCAGGTGATCTTGTGGGGGCCTGTGTGGTCTTACTTCTGGGGTCGGTGACTTTGACATGGCCTTGAGGCTGAGGGAGCAAGAGAAGGAGCAGCCACTTTGGGAACTTGCCAGGAAGCTTCTTAGGCTTTTACTTAAGCAAATACTCAGATTCTGATTTCTTTTTTTTGCAATTCAGTAAGTTTAGCCTTTTCTCCTCAGTTTATACAAAACTAAGACAGAAGACATCTTGGCAGTGATAGAAGTGGCTTTAACAGCTGGTGCAGGGACACAGGCCCATGGGGTGGGAGCTCTCAGCTGCTTGGCTGGGCCTGTGGTGCTCTCTTCCCTCCCTGGCCAGGTCAGGACTAGGTCAGGTCAAGTTTCTGCTTTGAAGGGACCACAGGCCCAGCTTAAAGCCCTGAGTTTGTACCTGTAGGAACCTTCTTTTGATGTTAGGGCAATTGCTTATGCTCCTGGGTTTACTCTTTTCTTTTCTTTTTTTTTTTTTTAATTGTATTATTTCACTTGTACCATCAAATCAGATCTGACTGGTACAGGAGGAGATTGCCTCCTCCACCAGCAGAGCATCTGGTGGATTTGAACTGCATACCTCTGGGATTGCAGTGCAGCATCTTGCCACTAGGCCACGGCCACCAGAGCTCCCCATCTCCTGGGTTTACTCTTAGAATGTTCCTCTAAGGGAGAGTTCCACACAACAGAGGAAAGTAGGGTTCCATTACTGCAAGACACTAAGAGAGATCTATATAAATGGAAGACCGTTCTTGCTCCTCGATTGGAAAATTGAACATTATTAAAATGCCACTACTATGCAAAGCCAGTTAACAGATACAGTGTGATCTCAGTCTAAACTCCAGTAGCATTTTTCACTGAATGGAAAAGCTAATTACCAACTTTACATGGAATGGAAGGAGGTCCTGAAGAGTCAGTGCAATATTGAGGAACAAAGTGAAAGACTTGACACTTCCTGATCTGAACCATGGCGGGGCTCACAATTGGCCACACTGATAAAAGTAACTTGAGATGGCCTTTCTGAAACAAACTTTATTTTAGTTTTAAAAAAAAAAGAGAAATAATTTTACTTCTCTTTTTCACTTTTAAGATCTTTAAGGCCAACCAGTTGGAAGAGAAGATTAATATAATTGAGAAACGGCCTGAATTGTTGACATCTGCAGACCTGGAGGGTAAGAAGGTGAGTAACAGGAATTGCATCTGCACTGGGCTTTGCTCAGGACAGACAGACACACTGAAATAGCTCTAGCTCACCCTCATGGTGGGTCTCACAGGTAAGTTACCAGCTAAGAATCTACCAGTCAGGGACGACATGAGGAGCTAGTAGAACTTGCCATGTTGCCTGCACTGCCCAGAATGTGGCTCATGTCTGTCTTCCAGGTCCTCGCTGTCCTCCGAGTCCTCTCAATCCTCTGGGTCCTCTCTGTGATCTTCTTTGTCCTCCAGGTCCTCTTGGTCCTCCAGATCCTCTTTGAGGTTTTCTCGGTCCTCCAGGTCCTCTCTGTCCTCCGGTTTCTCTCTGTGGTCTTCTCAGTCCTCTGGGTCCTCCCTGTGGTCCTCTCTGTCCTCCAGGTCCTCTCTGTCCTTCGGGACATCTCAAGTCTTCCAAGCCCTCTTGGTCCTCCCTAGGTCAAATGCTTCAGCTCTGCCGAATGTGACTTGGCTCCTCTCCTTCTTCCTCTCTTCCTTTAGCATCACCTTGGCCTTGATCTTCTGCTTTGTGTGTCTCTCAGCCTGCAGCTGAGGTATGAAGCAGCTCTCATCAGGGACCTGCCTGCAGGACTCTTCACCCCTCAGATGCACAGGACCCAGAGCACCCTTCCCTTCTCAGAACACCTTTCTGTTTAGTTTCTTAAGAGACTGCTTCCTCCAGGCATTTGTCACGTTTCTTCTGGCTGCTCTTTCTCAGTCCTCTTCATGGGTTTCTTTTCCCTTCAGCATCCTTTTCTATCCCTTGATCCTTTGTTTTTGGCTCTGTGTCTTGTCCCACACCTGCATGTAAACCTGGGTCTTCAGTGTAAGAGGCCACTTCACTTCTTTTGGCTCTGACTCTCCTGTGTAGCTGCCTGCTGGCTCTGTCTTTGAATAGCCCCCAGGTGCTCAAATTAGACTTGCTCAAAGCGAGACTTAACCTCTTTCCTACTAACCATTAATACAAAAAAAATCAGATTCATTGTAATATGAATAATATACCATTAAGATTAACTTTTTTCAATTTTTTAGTGAATTTGTGAATTTGCTTCTCTGACCCTGTTCCTTCATGTTTATCTCCTGCCCAGTGTCAGGCCCTTTTTAGGGTACTGGGACTTGTGACATTGTCCCCAGTCTTGTGTTCAGAGCTGAACTGGGGAGATAGATGAACACTGTTGATAGAGCTTTGATGGGTGTCCCAGAAGCCTTTCTGATACTTTCATTTCCCCTGTGGACCCGTGGCTCCCATCTGTCCAAACTCTGAGGACAGCCTGTTCCACCTTCCCTTCCCCCTTTGGCTTGAGGGCACGTCCTGTGTCTGTGTCTTTAGATTTACCGGGGTGAGGGGGGGTGCATTCAGCAAGTTTATCTGCTGATGGAGGGAGAGAGGAGACTCCCAGGTGACCTCGCCTTCATCTTTCTGACACCTGTACCTGCTTCTTGCTCTTTTGCCAGGTGTCCCTGCTCCTGGCCGAGCCGTTCTTCACCACCAGCCTGCTGCCCTGGCACAATCTGTACTTTTGGTACGTCCGGACGGCCGTCGCCCAGCACCTTGCACCTGGCGTCGTGGTGATGCCACAGACTGCCTCCCTGCACGCCATGGTCGTGGAGTTCAGGGTAGGCCACCCGAGGGACCTTGTCTTCGCCTGAAGCCGGGATGCAGATGGGCAGCTGAGCCTTTAGTGATTTGGCTCTTGGGTTTTCTCTATGAGCACAGTCCCTTATGAACAATACCATCATTTGACATATGAAATGCAAATGGCTGTGTGTTGTCAACGCACAGTAGTGGCTTATCAGAATAATTAGGAACCGTAAGTGGAGAGTTTCAGGGGGCTTGCTGTGCAGCCAGCTCCACTCTCATTAGAAGCCAAGCACCAGTTGTTAAAAGCATTTGTGATGGGAGAGTCAGCGTCTTTATGCAAAAGAAAAAAAAAATTGAAAAGGTTCATTTTAATTTTCTCATCAAAGCAAAACCACAGTCACGAAGTCATTTTGGGAAAGGCCTTTTTTATTAAAAGGATCTTGAAATGATTTAACCTGAAGTGTAGAGTGAGTCTCATTTGCAGGTTCTTTTCACAGAAGAGCTGTGTCCTTTGGAGGTCAATGCCTCCATCACTTCATTTATTCTGTGCTCATTATTTTCTTCATAAATTCTGATCTCTAGTCAGAGGCTGTAGAGAACGGCGCTGACTCCCGACAGGGCAGCTGGGGTCAGAGTGTGGACCAGGCACGTCCCCGAGGGCAGCCCAGGATGCTGGACCTTTGCTTTCTTCCCTGGAGAGCCAGTCTCTGTCCTCGTCCTGGTGCTGCTTATAGGTGCCCAGCCTCGGGAGCAGGTTTACACATTTTCTACCCAAGAAAAAGTCTTAGTTCTGGGGGAAGTGTCCTTGCCCTACTTGCGGTCTGGCTGATTGTCCCCTCACTGGGGGTCCTGGTGTAGGGTTCACACAGTGCCCGCCCAGCATCTGCTCCAGATGCCATCCTCACTCTTAGGGGCCTTTGAGTCCTTTAGTCTCAGGGCCTCTGTTCCAGGCAAAAATGCCTCCATACTAGGGCTGGAAAGCCAAAGGGTGGTGTTAGCCCAGGGGTAACACTCAGAAAGATTGAAAGGGAAGGACAGGCTAAGAGGATGAGAAAGGTGGGAAAAACCAGGTAAACCGGGGCAGGGGCTCCTGCACCTGACACATGGTCTTTCACTCTGACCTGGGAGGCTGGGCATCACTGACTGGGCCACGCCTTCCCATGGGGGTGTGGATGATGCTGTCTATTCCCCACAGGACCTGTGGCGGATCCGGAGCCCATGTGGGGTCTGCGAAGGCTTCGATGTGCACATCATGGATGACATGATCAAGGTAGGAGAGGCTGCATTTCAGAGCAGTATCCCACCCATCCCACACAGCCCCAGGCCTCCAGCCAGTATGTCAGACAGCTCCCTGTGAGACAGGGCCTCTTGCTGGGCTCGCTGTGCACATTGACCTGAGGACAGTTCTGTCTGCGAGCATGGCACCTCCGGAACATCTAAGCTATGGTTAGAAGCCCCTCTGGGCCCTGTGTTTTAAGCGCTGTCACCTCTGGAGCCACTGTGCCAGTGTCAGCTGGAAATGGGCACAGAACAGGATGGGGTGCTCAGGTGTCACGTAGTGGCGGCTGGAGGGGCAACGCCACTGTGTATGCAGTGCCCTCAGTGGCAGGGGTTGGTCAACATGGTGCTGGACATGAGGAGTCAGGACGCGCTGTTCCGTTATTAGGAAGATGTGCTCAGGCGCAGGGACAGAGGTGGGGCTGGCGGATACCGCTGTTTACTGTGGGAGGTGGAAGTGGCTTCCTGCGTGTCCCTTCCTTTTGTTCCTCTTTCTCTTCCTGTTTGACAGTGAGCAAGGACAGCTTGGCAAACATTTTTAAAGAAATCTTAAGATTTGCTTCTCTTTGTACCTCATCAGCCCCTTGAAGGGGTGACAGATGGTCCCTGCCTCCAGCGGGCTGCCTCCTGTTGCTGTGCCCATCCCTCCCACCCAGCCCTGCCCTCTCAGGCTTCTCCTGCTCCACCCCCAGCCTTTAGCCCTGGGCCTCACCTTCTGGCCCACCTGACCACTTTCAGGTCTGGTACGGTGATGACATCGGGGAAGTCTCTGCACTCTGACCTTTGTGTTTCCAGAATCCTGCCCTCCCTAGCCTGGTCCTTACAGTGCCACGTCTTGGACCTGCTTTTACTCATCTCTGCACCCCGACACCAGAGTCTCAGGGTCTCCCGCACCTTTACTTGTGCTGCTTATTGGGCATCACATCCTTGCAGCTGTGGTCAGTCGTGGTAGATTGGCTGAGGAGAGTGCAGAGCCTGGCATCAGGTCCAGGAGCCCAGATTTTCCCATAGGGCCCCCATGGAGGTAGGGCGAGCAGCTGGCGTACCCTGGAGAGGGGGCTGCCTGGTTGCCATACCCGTGTCTTTTGGCAGCGGGCCCTGGACTTCAGGGAGAGCCGGGAGGCCGAGCCCCACCCGCTCTGGGAGTACCCGTGCCGCAGCCTCTCGGAGCCCCAGCGCATCCTGACCTTTGACTTCCGGCAGCCGGTGCCCCTGCAGCCAGTCCGTGCTGAGGGCCGCATGGAACTGAGCAGGTGAGGGGGTCTGGGGAACAGAGGGGCAGGGCCTGGCTGGCCTGGAGAGTGGAGAGGGAGAGGAATTGTGATGGAAGCCCCGCCAGGTGAGTTATCTGGTTACGTCCATGCTTCTTGTCTGCAGTGGCCCTAAGTGGGGCCATGAGGGCTGGGGAGAGTGTGTCCAGAGTGACTGCTGTCTCCGTGTATGGAGGCTTCTGCATGTGGCATGTGGCCTGGTGGATCACAGCTGCAGGTTAACTTTCACAGTTACCATGGTTTTTCCTTGGCTCAAGTTCTCAAACTCTCCTGGGAGTTCAGCAGGTTAGGAAGCGTCAGGGCTGCTTGTTGGGAGGTACAGCCAGTCCCCTCTGGAAGCCAAGTTATTGTCACTGGGCAGGTCTTCCAGTTCTGGTGCCAGCAGCACGGAGCCTCCCCGTCTGGGAGTGGCTGTCCCTCCACCCTGTGCCTGAGAGGAGCATGTGGCTTCAGTGTGGTGGGGGACAGCCTCCTTCACTTGCACTTAGTTTGCCTGCCGGCCTCGGGTGTTAGGATGGATGTGGGGAAGCCAGGGTCTTCTGGAAGCCAGCACCTCTGGTGTGACTGCGTCCCCTCCCCGTCCAGGCCTGGGAGGAGCCACGGGGCTGTGCTGTGGATGGACTACCACCTGACCCCTGCCAGCAGCGTCAGCACCGGCCTCCTGAGGCCCGCGGGAGACAAGGTACCACTGGGTGGGGGTCTGCGCATGGGTGGTCCTGACTACCAGTCACCTGAGCAACTTGTCCTCCTTGGGGCTAGAGAGCCCTCAACACCATGTGTCCACTCCTCTCGCAGGGGGACTGTTGCTGGAACCCCCACTGCAAGCAGGCTGTGTACTTCTTCAGCCCCACCTTGGACCCCTCAGTGCCGCTGGGTGGCCTGCAGACCGTGACCTATGTTGTGGAGTTTAATCCTCACACAGGAGACATCGTCATGGATTTCAGACTCTCTGATGACTCAGGAGCTGTGCACTGACCCTCAGGTGTTGGCAATAAAGTGGCCAGAGGACATTTGGTGTGACTGGTTTGTGGCTTCCTAGGAAGCCGGCTGCGTGCTGCTCCTCAGGGAACTGCCTTGGCCTCGGCTTCGCTTTTCCATCTTTGCTGTCACATCCTAGCTCCGTGTGCTGTTGCTCGTAGGACTAAAACCCATGGACCAGTGGGCGGCTAAGTCTGAAGCTTTAGGGGGCTAGAGACCCCACAGTTCAGGCTGGAGGTGTCAGAGCCTATTTCTGTGTAAGCAGTGCTGTCTCCTGTTTGCCTTGAAAGGGACAGTCTGCCGGGTGGGTGCAGGTGAGGTGGTCTGAGCTGCTCTGGGAGAGGTGGGGCCTGTGGATAGAGCCCACAGCCTGCATTCTGGAACCCCCCCCATTCTGTCCCCTGCTGTGGCTCAGGGACCTCTGGGGGGGAGGCCTGGGATCTGAAGGGCCTGTGGTATTGGGCAGAGAGGACTGGTACCTGGTCTTCACCCTGTGGACCTTGTCGAGGTCTGGTCATCAGGTGGCTGCTGACCTTCTGAGATGCAGCCAGGGAGACTACCAGAAAGGGGATAGGGGTGCCACCTCATCCCATGTACCCCCTTGCTGCTTTAGTAGCTTAGATCAGAAGAGTTCTGAGCAGCTGGGGATGGTGCAGAACCACACTAGTGCCAGCCCTGTGTCCATTCTTTCCCTGAAGACCAGAGGATGTGGGGCCACAGCTGCCCTCACACCCTCTGGCACACTTGCTGTTTGCTGCCCAGATGTCCAGGGGTCAGGGTGGAAGGACCCTGCATATCCGGTGGCCTGAGGCCGGCCTTCACGTGGGACAGACATGCCACCCTTGGTGCTGGGGCAGGATTGGAGGGCCAGCCCTAGCTTGTCACAAAATAAATGGAGACGCCAGCCTTGAGCCTCACAGTTTTATTTTCTCCTTGTATCCATCCATCCTTTCAGCACCAATAAAGGAAATAACACTCCTCAAAATATTTTATCAGGTGTGAAGGTGGTTCTCTTCTAGGGAAGAATCGTCTGGATATATATTTGATAATTGTGTTTACCAAAACCTTAGGTGTGCTTACCATAGAAAACCCCTTATAACCCCATGTGGATACAATACAGAAAAAATACAGAAATTAAAAAAGTTGGGTTTTTTCCTTTTTTTAAAACAGTATTTCTAAATCTCAGCAAGTTAATACAATAGTTAAAAAGCATCAAGATTAATATTCATACTCAAAACCCAAGGAGTTTGGACAAATGAAATGGATGTTTCCTTCCTCCACTGACCCCTGTCTGGCCCTGCTTTCAAGAAGGCTGGGTCAGGGCAGGTGCCGAGCTGTGCGTTGGATGGGGACTTGCGTGTGCGTCCTCCCAGGCCTAGATGTCACAGAATCAGAGATCCTGGAAATGTTTCTTTTTTAAGCAACTAAAGCTGAAGAACCAGGCTTGCACACAAGCTCCGGGATCCATAGGCACAATGGACCTCGTGCAGGACGGCTGCTGTGGTGGCTGGGCCGAGGGGGTTGTGAGAGAGCCAGGAGTTGGGGTGACCCGCTCTGGACACCAGAGGCTGGTTTGGCCAAGGTGAACTTTGTTACTGGAGCAGCAGCTGAGGCACAGGGAGGTCTGACTGGCCTGGGTCACCCTGTGATGAGGGAGAGAAGCAGGTCTTGACATTCCCACAGCCACACTGTTCTTTGGAAGAGAGTCCATTCCTCTGGCCAGATAGAAGCTGTGCTGAAGTCCAGGCCTGACCCTGGGGATGCCCCATCAGCTCAAAGCTTAGGGCCTCAGCTTAGTCCTGGAGCCACCCAGGGTAGGCCAGATGTGAGGCGAGGTGGCTCTTGGGGGTGCCAGCCCCTTCCTGTGGCTTTGACACTGGAATAAGGCTGGGGGCTAGGCAGGGGACAAGTGGCCCTGCCTTACACTGGACTCTGGCCTGTCCTTGGCATGGTGTTGGCGTTGGCTGGCTGCCTGGCCTTCTCTGCCCCTCTTGCAGTTCAGTGGGTTCTGTGCACCAGCAGCAGGGGTGACAGGCCCTGGCACTCCCAGCCTCACTGGGCAAAGCTGGCTCTCAGCCAAGCTGGAGCCAAGATGAGCACTGCAGGGGGCTGGCAAGGAGTGCCAGGACTCCATGCTGGAGGACTGCCCCTCTAACTTGATGGGAGCCCCTTGGGAAGGCAGGGCTGACTCAGTGGGTTACCGCCAGCCCCTCTCACATCTAGTGGTGAGCTCTGTGTGGCTGGGCCTGGTCACATGGGTAACACAGTGGGGTTCAGTTGGCCTGGAGGCCAACCAGTGTCATCCCTGCTCTCCCAGCTTCTGGCTTTGCACACTCACTCCCCCGTTCTACACTGGCTCTGGGGTGGGGAGACACTGCTGAGAGGACAGCTGCACCCCTTACTCAGATCCCGGTCCTGAGCTCAGTTGCATGGGGGGACAGGCATGATCCAGGCATGATTGGGGGGCAAGAGGTGTGTTGTTTCAGGTGAAGGAGAAGCAACTATAAATCAGGATTTTCAAAATTAGAAGCTCCCCCTCCCCCCTTTATGAGTTCCCTCTTCATATTAAAAAAATGGGTGCCCTCTTCGGGAACCCTGTTATGGCTCCACTCCCCAGGACTGTGTCTCGACTTTCCTGGGGACGGGGCTGCCAGAGCTACTGGGCCCTCTTGTGCCCGGACCAGAGCAAAGTGTCTGGCAGACCCTTAAATGTGAAGGATTCTGGTGGTGGATTTTTTTCTTTGTAAAATGTAATCGCCCTTGAACACGTCGACCTGAACAAAGCCTGGGCTGGCTGGCCGCTGGCCGGTGGCAGGAGCTGGCGGCCTGCGCCGGAAGTGCTTCTTTGGCTGGTTCTGATTGGGGGAAGCCGAGCGAGGGTCTGTGGTGACAGCGGAGTGTGGCATGCAGGCAGCGTGCGTGTGAGGGTGCAGGCATGCGAGACGACATTGGCAGCAGACAAAAATAATGAACCCTGGACAGAGCTTGAAAAAAGATATACAAAGAGTACGTAGAACCCGGTCTCATACTAACTCACGGGTTATAAACTAGGTTGTGCTGTAGATTTGTAGAAAATGCTTTTTGGAAAGAATGGCACTGGTTGGAGGCCGGGTCCTGGCCCAGCCTTGCTGTCCACAGTGGGTGCCCGAGGCACAGCAGGGCTGCTCGCTCACTGGGATCCCACCGCGGCTCCGCTCCCGGCTTCCTCCCCCATCTGGGGGGGACTCAGACCCGGGACAGGGTGTGGCTCCAAGAGTTGGCACAGGCCCAAATGCAGCGGTCGGCTGGGGCGTGGGAGCACGGCTGGTCTATGCTGCCTCCTCCTCATTGCTGGACACCATCAGCCGCATGGCCACAGGGAGGTGGTCGGTCAGGCCTGACAGCTGAGTGATAAAACTGAATTCTTCTACCTCCTGGGGGGAGCAGGGGCGACAGAAAAATCCTGGTTAGACCCGAAGGGGAGGGACCTGGGCAGAGGGTCTCTTTTGGCCAGGTCTTGGAAATGCCTCATTTGGAAATGGGAATGGTGGGGTGCTGAGGGCCCTCCCCCGACCCTGTCCCCCAACTCACGGCCTTCCAGTCGGGGCTCAGCCCCTCTACCCCGTGTAGAATGTAGTCGATGCGGCGGCCGTTGCCCTTGAGCAGGTCCTTGCGCCCCTTCTGGCAAGCTCCTGAGCTCTTGCTGCGGGGGAACTCCAGGTACTCCCTGCGGCCTTCCTCACTCTCCAGGGCCCTGTCCACACAGGTGGGCAGGTGAGCAGAGCACCCTCGCCCTGCCCCCGCAGCACCAGTGTGGAGACCCTCATTCTTCACCCAAAGTGAAGAGCCAAAGTGAAAAAGTGAAAAGCCTTTGGGTTGAAGATCTTTCTGTGGATCCCAGAAAGCCCTGGCAAGGGAGGGGACCAGCCTGTGAACCCTGCTGCACTGGGTCCCTCGCAGCCTGTGACACCATGTCCTGTCTCCCTCAGGTCCTGTGATTGGGTTTGCCCAATCAATGCCTGGCTGCAGCTTGGGCTGCGGCTGAGGTGGGGACAGGATTGTCATCCCCTCTCCAGACTGGGCTCCACTCCGTGCCGATGGGCCCATGCGGCCTGGGCTCTGCAGTGAGCCTCAGGAAACCCTTCTCTCCTGAAGCCCTGGGTCCCCATAACTCGTATTCCAGGTTGACAGAAGGTGGGGGAGCCAGGAGGGTGCCCAGGCCCCACGTGACGGCTTGGCCCTGCCTCTGTCCCCAAACTGCTGTTCAGCCTGGCTGATTCCACCAGACTCCGAGTTCCATGTTCTCTGTGCGGACAAGGGTCACATCCCTGGGCCCGGACACTGGGGGTGGGGGACAAGCAGGCCACAGTGGAGCAGAACTGGAGGTTATGGTCATTCCAGTTCTCAAGGTGGGAACACTTAGTGGGTGCTCAGTTCTGGTCATGATTGCCCAGGGGGGCCCAGAACTTGAAGTGGAATATTACTGTGTCCCCCAGGGATGCCAGGATCCTGGGGGCAGGGCACATTACCCAGGAGGTCTGGAGCTTGAAGCTCTGGGCAGGGAGATGTTCCACGCGGAATCTGGGCATCCACCCCCCATCCTTCCCTGCCTGGCATCTCTGCCCTGAAGCCAGAAGCTAGCTGGCTCCTTGCCCGCATTCCCCCTGACACCCAGCAGGTGGCTGTGAACCTGCCTCGGGCCGCACAGGCCTGTGTCTGGGCTGGGAGGTGACAGGATGGCTGGATAGGCCCCGCCAGCAAACATGGGCTTCTGCCAGAAGCTCTTATCACCTGAAGATAAGTCCACTAATGACACCGAGAACACGGTTACAGCTCTGAAATAAGAATCCATTACTGTCCTTTGCCTTTGACAGTTAATTCTAGCATCAATGATATGTAAGTTACTGAGAGTCATTTTTTAATCATCATCTCATAAAAAAATCATTTTCTCAGCATAGGATGATGTTTCAAATTTAGCCTGTAATCTAATTAATTGGCTTAAATTGGCTGCGAGGAGCCATCTCAGGCTGCAAGTTATGAATTGGTTCTGCTGTTGGCCTCTCAGCTATGTGTCCTCAGTGACGTCTCATCAAGAGTCAGGAGTGAAGTTTGACTGGGATGAAATGGTTTCTTCTCAGAATGACTGACTTTTGTTAATCTCTGCTCAGTTGTATTTGTCTAATTGGTGAGCACAGGGGGGGCTCCCTTAAGCGGAAGCTCTGCCTGGTGCCTCTGCAGTGTCTGGGCTGCCTTGTCTTGAGCTGGGACTTCCTGGGAGGGCCTGGGCAGGGCAAACTCTGGCAAATGAGCCTGGACTCAGGGTGCTAATTAGGAAACCTGCCTCTGAGTCCCCAGGACCTGCTCTGAGGAGCCTCCTGGGCAAGGCCAGGTCCTGGGACAAAGTTAAGTGAGTCAAGTTGGTGGCCTCTGAGGTTTAGGAAGGCCTCCCAGATGTGGAGTGAGGGGCAGTTCCAACGGGGCAGGGCTTCTCCTGACTCCTCCCAGGCACCTGCAGCCCTACTTAGCCACCCGCTGACTTGAGGCTCTCCTGGAGAAGCAGGGTGCTGGTTCCCTGCCTGCAGCCACATGTACTCACTTCTGCAGATTGTCCGGGGTGCGCACGTCCTCATCATGGAGGTTGTCCGTGTCCAGGATGGTACCTGTCGACAGAATGGATAGTGTCACATGAAGTAAGCCTAGCCAGCCTTCAGGAGGATCTCGGAGGGAGGAGGGTGGGGTAGGTGTTTGTGGCCTGGTCGGGGCCTATTCAGGGCCTGTGGTCTCTCCCAGGAGGCCTGTGGCGGACCCAGTGCAAGGCCAGCATCAGTGAGAACATAGTGGGTGGCCAGCCCCTCCTCAGCCCCGTCCCCTGGGCGCCCAGCCCCTCCTGTGCCCAGCTCACCAATGGCCCATGGCTTCTCCTCTCCAGGGCCGAGGCGGCAGGGGTCCTTGTAGTGTGTAAACAGGGAGTGCTGCTGCTCCAGCTTGTCATCTGTGGAGGTTAGGGACAGTTCCTGTCCAGAATCCTGGTTCCGGCCAGTCACTCCTGCCAGGTATCACCTCATTCCTGTCTCATTGGTGGGGTGGGGTCTGTGCTCCCAGATAGATACAGGACTTTGGACCTGTTCTCATTCCAATTCTACCTCCTGCTGAAAACTTGAATTTCCACCCAGATCTACTCAGCTCAGAATCTCTGGCTTAACAATCTCCCCAGGTGAAGACCTGAGGATCTGTAAGATTTCAGGGACTTACAGATTCTGTTTCAGTAGATCCAGGGAGGGTGAGGCAGACCCACTGAAAATTCTCAGCAGAGTGTTGAAATGGATGAAGGGGAGCCAGTTGGGACAGTGTCTCTGTGTTCTGTGTGTCCTCCTGATCTCAGTGTTCCCATCTCTCTAAGGATAGTGGTGACTGTCCCTCTTGGGGTCCAGGGGGCAGTGACCTTGAGATGAGGCCATAAGAGACCCTGTAGCAAACACCTCAGCCAGAACTCCTGCTCTTGTTCACAGGCCTGATGCCCAAACCTGGATGAAGAAAGGACCCCACAAGGCTCAGTGGGAGGTGACCTGTTATGGGCTTCCATTTCTCCTACCACTTCGTGGACTGAAAAAGGCTGAGACTCCCTGGGAGCGGGGAGAGGGTGCTGAGGGAATGTGTGTCTGCGTTCTGGGGGAGACCTTCTGGGCCCCTGCCTCAGTGAGGGCTAGGACTTGAGCTCCCAGGCCTCTGTGTCAGCAATCCCATCCTCAGAGCCTTCGAGAGCCTCGTTCAGAGCTTTACCTACCCACTGGCTCTTTAGGGCCCAGAGGGGCTCAGGTGAGCTCCTCACCCCAGAAAGGACCTGAAAGCAACATGGTCATCTGATCACAGTGAGAAACAAAACCTAACAGATGCCCACCTCCTGCTGCTGTTAGGGGCCATCAAGTCAGAAACAACTCATAGGTGACCCTCCAGTGGCTTTTCAGAAGCTGTAAGTTGCAGGGAGGAAACTGCCCATCTTTCTCCCTGGAGCTTTAGTGGAATTGAACCACCTGCCTTTGTGTTGACAGTGCAGCTCCTTAACCACGAAGCCACTAGAGCTCTCTGCCCCCCATGCTAAGAGTGTTAACGCTTAAATGAAACTACCTGTCCAGGAAAAGCCGTTAGCATCGTGCCTGGTATAAAATAAGAGCTGATGAGTAACACTTGCTAATGAATAATGACTCTATTACTCTGAATTAAGGGCCTGCGCCTTCTGGCCAGAGGTTCGTTTTGGGGGCGTCTGTTTCCGGAAGCCCTCTTGAGTTCTATGTAGAGTGTGGGCTCTTCCTAATGGGACTTGTAGAAGGAGAGAAATTCTAGTCTTGCTAACTATGTGAGCCACACTCTAACTAGGGCCAGGAAGTCCTTCGCGCTGTCTAGCCCATGTCTTTGCAGCTGCGAGTGGCACCAAGGCTCACACCCTCCCGCGCAGCCAGCTGGACGAAGTAGGGCATTGCCTCACCAGAGGAGCAGTTGTCAAAGTTGAAATCTCCGCAGATGATGTCAAACACCACCAGCTCCTCGGGGTTGGCTGTGCTGGATGAGGAGGTAGATTTTCGGAAATCAGCCAGCCAGTCCTGAAGCAGGTCCAGCTGCTCACAGCGGATGATGCTGTCCTCTGTGGGCAAAACCAGGGACCGGATGAGGAGTGGCCCGGTGCCAGCCCCAACCACCCCTGGGCCCTGGGATGCTGGCCTACTTGCTGGCGCTTGCAGGTGTGTGCAGGAGATGTACCCGACGATTCTTTGGTCCTGAGGTGTGCTTCCCACCTGCACCTGTGTGGGAGGAGACCCATGTCAACCACAGTGTCCATGGGGGTGTGTGTGTCAGTGCTCTGAACACAAAGGGACACTGGGAACATCCACTTGCCCACAGGCTCACCCTCCAAACCCTGCTCTATGTGGGCTCCTGGCTGGACGCGACCCCACTAAGAGTGGGACAAGGCTTCACCTGGGTGACAGGCAGCTGCAGAGATCCATAGCTCATGGCACAGGAAGTGCCCACAGCAATGTGTGCAGAGCATCAAAGGTGAGGAAGATGCAGAGGTGGCAGCAGACTGCCCCCCCTCCTGCCATCTCTTAGTGACCACAGCACCCTCATGGGGATCACCTCCATGCCAGCCCCTTGGTCTCTCAGATGGCTTCCCCCCACGCCTCCAGTTTCCCTTTTGAGTCACATTTCCTTCTGTGACCTGCATTAGCCTCACCACTCCCTGCCTGCCTTCCTGCCCCTTCTCCTCAGTCTGCCCCTCTGGCTCCACCACAAGTTTCTTCATTTGCTTGACAGGCTCTGGTCCCTGCTAGTCCTGCTCTCTCCCTCACCCTGGGGTACTGGGCTGCCGTGTCAGGGCCACCTATCCTCCTTCTTGTGCCTTCAGTGCCCCCAGACCCTGTCCTCATATCAGTGCTCCTCCTTTTTTAGGTTTCTGGAGTTAGACCCCAGCTCCCTGCCTGAACCACAGAAGGCTCTGGCTGGTTGTCCCTAAACCTTGGGTTTAAAATGAGCATTTCATTTAAAAACAGTGTTTCAGTCATACATCACAAAGACAACCACACACTTCCCTCCCTGCAGGGGGCAGTCCCAGTGCCAGTACTGTAGTTGGATCTGAAAGATCAGGGTCGCCCAGGCGGGTCCTCTCTGAGGTCCTCAGCCGCCATAGAGACAGCAATGGAAGGCTGCTTTGCAGGGATGCGCCGAAAGGCACCTCTCTCTGGTTCTTCATCCTCTTCCTTTCTGGGATTTCTGCCCCCCCCATCTACCTTCTCCAAACTTTGCCAGTACAGTCTAGAAGGGATTTCCTGTGATGATCAAACCCTGGACCTGGGGGATGTGCCCCTAGGACTGGCAGGCTGTCCTGGTTCCAGAACGAGGGTCACCAGAAGCAAGGAGTGCCGGGAGGCCTGCTCAGCACATGCAGACCCAGCAGGTGGTGCTTTTCTGCTGTCAGGCTGGTACTGTTCTCTTCCACATGGATGTCTCATCACCAGATACCTCCAGCTTTCTACAGTCCTTCACCCCCTTCCACAGTACCCGTGTGAGTGAATGGCTGTGTGATGATGGGCTATGTGGCCTGGATTTGGGGTTGCTTATCAACTCAAATGGTGACTGGTCACTCCTTAACTATATACCAGACTAAACATCAGTCTTATTAGTACCTCTCATCCCAGGAATCAGTGGGATAGATAACAACTGACATGGTCCAGCTAACAGATGCCGCCCTGGACATGCTCACCAGTCTGTGCCAGGAAATTTGAAAGTCAACTTGCTTGTTCCCAATTCCAAGAAAGGTGGTCCAATATAATGTGGAAATTATTGAACAATATAATTAATATCACATGAAAGCAAAATATTGCTGAAGATTATCCAAAAATAGTTAGAACAGTACATTGAAAGAGAACTGTTAGAAGTTCAAGCTCCCTGAAACCCACAGCGTCCCTTTTCAGCAGGAAGTAGCTAAGAGAATACGCCATCCCCTTTTCCTTATGACTCAGGGTGAAGTCTCTCTCAGGGAGGAGTGATAGGGAATGGCAAAGGACACACTGACAAAGAAGATTAATCAGAACTGGCTTTGACAAGCACTGTGGCATTTGGACAAGAACAAACTGGGAGGAGGGTAGAGAGAATAGTGCAACAATGAATGAATGGAAACCCAAAATCTCTGTAAATGTTTATGAAAATTAATAAAATATAATTATAGAAAAAAAAAAGAAGTTCAAGCTGGGTTTAGCAGAGGCTGTGGCACCAAGAACATCATTGCTGATGTGAGATGGACTCTGGCTGAAAGCAGAGAACACCAGAAGAATGTCTATTTGTGCTTTATTGACTGTGTGGATCATAACAAAAATGGCTAACATTGAGAAGAATAGGAATCCCAGAATCTTAATTATGCTCATACAAAACATATACCCAGACCAAGAGCCAAGAGCCTTGTCTGAACAGAGCAAGGAAACACTGCATAAAGGTGTGCTTCAGGGTGATAGCCTTTCTCCATACCTATGCAATCTGTAAATACTATGCTGAGTAAATAATTAAAGACTCCAGACTTTATGAAGAAGAATGTGGCATCAGGATCAGAGGAAGAAGGCTCATCAATAGCTTTTCACAGATGACATAACCTTGCTTGCTGAAAGTGAGGAGAACATGAAATGCTTGCTGCAGAAAATCAAAGCCTGTAGTCTTAAATATGGATTGTATCTCAACATCAAGAAAACAAAAGTCCTCATCAGTGGGCCAACAGACAACATCATGGTAAATGGAGAAAAGATTGACATTGTCAATAATTTCACTTTAGTCAACACCCTTGGTGCCAGCAGTCAGGAGACTGGGAAATCCTGCTGTCAGGGGCAAAGTCCTGAAGAGCAGTGGTGTCAGTTTAAAGATTTAAGGTGTGGCTAATTCAAGCCATAGTCTTTCCAATTACCTGCTATACATCTGAAAGCTGGAAAGCGAATAAGGATGATAGGAGAAGATATGACCATATTGTTAGGGGATGCCGTTCCTTGGAAAGAGACAGCAGGCTTGGAAAGGTCAGTGAAGGAGAGGAAGACCCTCAACCAGATGGTTTGATACTGTATCTGTGGCAATGGACTCAAGTATGGTATAGGACAGGACAGAACTCAGATATGCTGTTCACCTGGTTGCTTAGTTGAGTTGTACTCAACTCGATAGCACATAACAAGAACAAGCTGTGAAAACCATCTTCCATCTATGTATCTTCGTGGAAAAATCCATTTTAAAAACAGCAATACTCCGTTGAGCTCTGGTGGCCTAGTGGCAAGAAGCTGCAACTGCAATCTCAGAGATGCACGGTTCGAATCCACCAGATGCTCTGCTGGAGAAGGAGGAACAATCTCCTCCTGTACCAGTCAGATCTGATTTGACGGTACACACAAAAAATAATGAAAGAAAATAAATTTAAAAACAAACACAAAAAACCAGCAATACTCCAAAGTGCCACAAGATGGTGATATAGATTGCTGTATTTCTCTTGACAGAACCATTTCTTCAAAAACTCATGTGAACACTATGCCTCCTGCATGTTAGTTACCTTGTTGGGTCTAAGGACTATGAGGAATATATCAAAGGTATGTCATTTAAACAGTTGGATAGATTGAAGCCAAGAGAAGTGTGGTACTTGACAAGAGCCACAGCTTCAAAGGTCAAGGCCAATTCAGATTGGATCTGTTGCCTCATCTCACTCTCAGTGTATGCTGGTGGGCATCCTGGGCAGGACACAGAATATGCAGAAGTGTCACACTGGCCTCACTGCTGAGGACAGAAGTGGCATATGACAGGCGGGCCCACTCTCTTGCTTGCTAGCATGTGTCTTACACCTGTTGTTGTTTGGTGTCGTCAAGTCCAACTCAGAAACCCTATGAACAATGGGTCGGAACCCTGTCCTCCCCTGTGCCATCCTCATCATCTCTTTGAGTGCTTTGATGCTGTGTCAGTTCATCTTCTTGAGGAGGTCTTCCTCTCTTTTACTGACCTTTCCAAGCATAATGTCCCTTTCCAAGGAATAGTCTGTCCTAGCAACATTCCCAAAATATGTGAGATAAAGCTTCATCATCTTTGCCTCCAAAGAGCATTCTGGATACACTATCTCCAAGTAATATCTGTATGTTCTTTTGACAGTTCATTGGTTATTCAGTACTCTTCTCTAATATCATAGCTTAAAAGTATTCTTCTGTCATCTTTGTTCATTGTCTAGCTCTCAGATGGATAGCAAGTGTCAGAACAACCATGTCCTGAATCAGGTGCACCTGAGTCTTCAAACTAACATCACTGCTCCTCAGTAATTTAGAGAGGTCCCTAACACCAGACTTTCCCAATGCAATATGTCTCTTGACCTTCTGACTGCTGGTACCAAGAGTGTTGATTGTGGATCCTAGTAAGGTGAAATCATTGACAATTTTAATCTTTTTTTCCATATATCATGATATTGACTATTGGTCCAGTGGTGAGAATTTTTGTCTCCTTGATGTTGAGATGCAGTTCATAGTGAAAGCTATAGACCTTGATTTTCAGCAGCAAGCATATCAAGTCCTCTTTTCTTCAGCAAGAAAGTTTGTGTCACCTGCATAATACAGGTTGTTGATGAGCCTTCTGATCCTGATGCCAGATTTTTGAGTCCAGCTTCTTGAATGATTTGCTCAGCATACAGACTGAATAAGTATGGAGCAAGGATACAACTCTGATGCACACCTTTCTTGATTTTAAGCAAGTGTTCCCTTGCTTTGTTTGGACAATAGCTTCTTGGTCTAGGTATAAGTTTTGTATCTTATGCCTGTTGTTGTTGTTGTTGATTGCCTTTGAGTTGAGCATGACTCATAGCGACCCTATGAGCAAAAGGCCTGAAGCCCCTCTACAACTAACGACATTTATCAAAGTTCATAGAGTTTCCAGAGGCATGTTGTTTAGGAAGTGGATGCCACTCCTGCTTACTCCCTCTTAATCAGCTATGTGATTTTGTCAAGATCCACTTTATTATTTGCTGGGATTTATCTATTCAAATTTATGTTGCCAGGAGCTACAAAGTCTCTCTTGGAAAAACAAGGTTCTGCTTTTTGTGCCTGGTGGGCAAACAATGTCAAAAGAAAAAGTTTCCAGAATCAGTGTCTGTCCTGTGTGAGAGGAAGACATCCAGTTCCTCTTGGGAGGTTATGGGAGCAGGAAGGCCATTTCTTGGGGAATCTGAAATGCCAGGGGAACAAGGTGGTAGGATTAATAAAGTATGATAGGTTCAGCTATGCACCTGCAGGGGCTTGGTGTGAAGACAGTGAAACACTTGGGGATGGGGCTGAGGACTGGAAGGCCAGCTATGTCAGGTGGCCACTGCTCAGAGCTCCAGAGATGCTGGAGCTAGTCCCAGGGGGAGCCTAAGGCAAGATGAGTGGGGTTTCCAGAGGCCTGGGTGTGGCTGAACATGGAGTGTGGAGAGAGGCCTGAAGGTGGGTATATAAACTTAGACCTGGTGTGGGAGAGGCGGGTATATAAACTTAGACCTGGTGTGGGAGAGGCAGGGTGGGTCAGATGTGGAGAGACTAAAGCCAAAAGAGGTGATGAGGGCAGTAGTGGGATTGGAGACCTGGAACAGACCCTGAGGTACTTAGATAGTGAAATTAGGAGCTGAGGTGGGTTGAGAGGGTTCTTTATGATTCAACCAAGTCCTCTGTTGGCCTAGTTCACGGAATGCCCAAAGGCATGCCTCTCTCAGGGTTCGAATCCACCAGCAGCTCTATGGGAGAAAGATAAGCAATTTCCTCCTGTATGATATATAGCTTTGAAAATCCAATGAGGGGCCAGCTATGAGTTGGTTCTGACTTGATGACACTCAAATGAGTTTTCTGGCTTGGGTTGGGCAGAACAGAGCATGGATAATGAGTTTGGTTTGCAGTGGAAATGTGTCCGGGAAGCAGATAGAAAGGTGGGCTCAGGAAGGATGTGGGTTGGATTAATCTGAGCTCATTAGGATTCCAGATCTGGAGGTGGGGTTGAGAGAGGAGAACTCTCCTGAGGGTCAGCTGGGTGACAGTGATGGGATGGGGTGTTCACTTGAGGGTGAAAAGGGCTGGCAGAGTGGAGTCACCCCGGGGCAAACCCTTCAGCTCTGCCGGACTGTAACTGCTGGAATGGGTCAGGCCTATGGTTATCAGATATGCACCTTGTACCAGCAAAAGCTGCATAGTGGGTGGTGGTATGGGGACTGTCTTGGTTTGATATGATCATGAATTTTTTAATTTTCAATGACATGGCCCAAATTAACCATGCTGGTAGACAAGTTTTAGATGCAGAAGGTAGAGAGAGAAAAGAATTTTTTTAACAGAGGCCTGCCTAGTTCAGATTTAAGGGATAGGCAGACTCAAGGGGCCCAGCAAGAACTGCTTGAGATGTGGGCGAGAACCAGAAGGGAGGTTCTGGAGATTATTGTTGACTTGGTCAGAGGCCAGACAGAGGAGTGAGGTGAGGAGAGGACATGGGGACAGGCCTGCCCAGAAGTGGGACTGGATGGATGGAGGTAGAGAGAGGTTCCCTGTAATCAGAGATCACAGCCATCTGTAATCAGGTGGGAGTGAGAGGGTGCTCTCCTACCATAAGCCTGACAAAACGTCCCCTTCTTCCTCAGAGAAGTCACTCTGGCTGCCAAGACAAAAATACATCCATGGAATAGCTCGCTGACGAACCACATGCCAAAATTGGAAGGTTGAATTTACGTATGAGAGGACTTGATTCCCTTTCAGCATCTCACACTGTGAATGGAGACTCAGGGCTCCAGCGTGGGGGCCTGGCTGAAGCACCTCAAAGCCCAGAGTGGAGGCCTGAACTCCTAAGTGATACCTGGATCCACTTAGCTTCATGAAGACAAAAGATCTGGCTCTCTGCTTTAGGCTGGCGTGTCAGCATTTCCCTGGATGGCCTGAACATGGTGAGAGCAGAGGCTGGGGAAGCTCCCCACAATGGCACGTTTCATTTTAGCCCTGCTCGGCAGCCCCTCACTTGTTTCTTAATGGAGCAGAGAAGCTGGAAGGAAACAGGTCCTGGGCTGTCCTGTGCCCACAATCTTCCTGCCAGACTTTTACTTTCTCACAGCTCACAGCACAGAGAGCACCCACAATCCAAGCAGTTGCTGCCTTTTGGGGCAGAAAGCTCTGCTCTGTGTCAGGTGGCCAAACAGTGCTTTAGAAATCTCTAAAAGTACCAAGAGCTGCTTTTGGACAGAGAACAAAAAGTTGACACTGTTAGCATCTCAGGGTGAGCAGAAGATAACGTATAATGACCAAATTACCATGGTCTAAAAACTCTTCCAATTGCACCCAAATTAGCAGAAATAATCATGATTCCCTTTAATTAATGACTGTGCAAGCAGAGCCATGCGCTGGTGGGCAGAGTGCCTGGCATGGCAGCTGTGCGACAGTAGGAGGGAGGGAGTCGAGGTCAGGCAAGCTCAGGGCCTTAGAGACATGTGGGGACAGGCCTGGTGGGACAAGCTCAGGACCCAAGTAGGCTGGTGGGGACAGGCCTGGAGGTGCTGAGATTCTCATCTGCCCACTTGTAATTCTTGGTCTGTGCTGGTGTCTGTCTTACGTGAATGCCTGTTCAGCTACAGAGATGGTGCTTGCTGAGAGGGTTCCCTACCTCCCCTTCCTCCCTTTGTCCCCATTCTCATCACCATGGCCCCCAGGACTATCATCACTGAGAGAGTCAACACTCTGAACTCCTGGCTTCAGTCACTCCCCATTCCTGGAATAAATATACGTCAACCCATTTTGCAGATGGGGACATGGCTCAGGGATCTGAGGAACTCGCCCATTATTTCCCCAGCAGGTCTACTGCATGTCTGGCCTTTGCTCTTGCCCTGCATTCTTACCTCTCTTGTCCTTGAGCATAGACCTCCAGTTCTGCTCCTTGAAAGATCTTGTTGGCCCTCCACCCCATCCCTCCCCGGAGACAGAAGGACCCTCTGGCAGCAGCCCCTCTGCCCATGTGGCTCTGGGACCAGGTGATCTGTGCCTCTCAGACTGAACTGGGGCCTCCTACCTTGAGAAATAGGGCTCCCTTGGAGGCCAGAGCATCTTCATGCTGCCCATTGGGGTAACAGTGATAGGCCACATCCATAATGGGGTAGCGGCTGGCAAAGAAGAGGCCACTGTTGAGACACTTGAAGCTGCAGCATTTGCAGTGGCAGTCGTGACAGCAGCAGTGGCAGTAGCAGCAGCCATGGCAGCCATAGATCCCGACGTCATACAGGATGTACTCGAAGTAGCCATGCAGCTGGTCTTTCAATTTGGCGGCTGCCCGCTTGTCAAACACCTCCTGCAGGCACAGGAAGTCCAGGTTGGCGGGGAAGAAGGCCGAAATCTCGTGGTCAAAGGCTTCATCTGGGTGCCGCCGCTTGCGTGTGGCTGCCTTCTTCACCACCGAGGCCTTGTACAGGAGCTTGTTGTTGGTGGTACCGGGTTCCCCGCTGTTGCTCTCCATTCCAGCTCGTGCTTTCACCAGGGACTCCCTGGAGGCTGAGGGGCTGCCTAGGCTCCCTGAATCTCCATCTCGCTGGCTGTTGTTGGGTGTCTGGCCCTTCTGGGTGCCACCAGCCCCATTCCTGGCCTGGCTGTCACTGGCTGGGTCGTCTGCTTCAGGCGGCCGGCCCACCTCGTCACCCCCAATACGTACAATGCAGGCATCCTCCAGGCTGCCACCGTTGGTCTGGTCCCCGGCGGCTGGGCTGTTCACAGCCTCGTCGCTGGGGCAGCGTCCGCCATCACCTTTATATTCCACTGAGGCTGTCCTCTTAATGCCCCCGGCGACAGTCCGGGCCACACCATCACTGCCCTGTGGTGACACCAGGCTGCTGAAGCTGGCTGCACTGATGGAGGTGTTGGTGGGAGAATCAATGTAGATTTTGATCTGGGGACGGCTGGCTCCGTTGCGGATTCTCTGCCCGATCTCTTTGGCTCGCGCTTGGACGTGATAAACATTGTTGACTCTCGCAAATGACTCAGGAAGGAGGCAGACGTTGGCGCTGGCAAAGCAGAAGCTTTTGCCGGAACCTGTACCTCTCCATTCTCTCAATAGAGCCGCCCCACCAGTCGGGCCCTTGTCCTCCAGCCGTGAGTAGATATAGGGCCTGCGGAAAGACTGCAGGGGGGACCAGAGAAGGAAGCCGAGAAATGCCAGGGGCAGCACAGCAACAAGGAGTGCCAGGTAGATGGGCGTGAAGAGGACAATGCAGAACAGCTGAAGGTAGCACTGGCTGCCTGACCGGCGACACTTATCACCAATGAAAGAGGTGAAGGGGGCCAAAAGCCGGTCCACTAGACAGTAGAAAGGGAAGATGAGGGCCCAGGACACAGAATGCAGGGCAGACAGAAAGCTATTAGAAAAGGGGGCTGTGTACAAAACCATCGCAGCTCACTGGGCGCCGTGGCCAGCCCTTCTACATGGTGTCCGTGGCTGCTATGGGCACTTCCTGGGGTGTGGGGGTAGTCGGGAGGGCAGCTGGAGGATGCGTCACCTCCTGGAGAGATGGGATTCTGGGTGGGTGGAGGCAAGCATTGGCCAGCTGGTCATGGTGAGCTCAGTGGACCATCTTGGGCATTGGGTGCTAGGAAACCTGCAGAGACAAAGAGGGAGTGGGACTGTTAGCAAACTCGGAGAAGAGCAGATGCTGGTGCCCTGCACCACTCACCCCAGTCCTGCTTCCTCTGATGGAGCAAAGTGGGCTCCCACACATGGATGAGGGCCAGGAAGCCGTCTCACGCCACTGTCTGCCCCATGTGTTTTGCCCTCTGAGAAGCGGCTTGATGACATGACTACCCCTGTCTGACTACCTTGACCTTTTAATACAACTGCCTGAAAAGCAGCCTCAGGAATTTGGAGCTTTGTGAGTGCCTTGGAGACAGGATCCTAGAAGACATCTGGGCCTGACCTGGAGAAGCAGGCAGGAGACACAGGTATGTGTTGAAATGGTGAGCAGGTAACCAGAGACAGGAGGAGCTGCACATACAGCCACATGTCACTGAGTTCACTAAGTGCCACCCAGAGTCAGAGAAGAGGGGAGGAAATGGCAGAAAGGAGAGCTGAGGTGGAGGGCAGTGAGGCTGGCAAGTCCCGAAGGATGAGACTCTTATTGTGACCTGCAGTATTAGACCAAGCTGGGCACTCCTGTCCCCCTGCCTCTCAGCAGAAATGCCCCCTACAACTAAAGGCTTCAGGCACAGCTGGGCCTTACCACCTCCCAGCACACTTAGTCCCTGTGCCTTTGGGGGCTGCTCCCCTGGCGGCTGGGTCAGGACCAAGCTTTAACTATTCTCCCCCATGCCCTCCACAATGCAGCCCCAGGGCCCAGCAGAGGCTCCACACTTCCAGGATACCTCTGATAGATAGCCTGGGTCCTCTGCCCAGTGCATGAGGGAGCCAGTATGGGTTTCAGATAAGTCCCAAGGATCCCACCTGGAAAGAAGCCGCCAGGTGCATTTACTGTGCTGAGTAAAATCAATAAAGACATGAGTCTGGAGTGTTTACCCACCCTGGGGACCTGCAGTGACCATTCCATGGCAAAGCTTGTAGAAGCTTAATCAAGAGTTTTCCTTATAAATCAGCTGGGTTACTCACTTTCTGTTCCTTCTTCACTGGCCCTGTCTAGCTCTCTACCCTGGCATCATGGTGGGCTGTGCCCACGTTGACACTCATCCTGGCCTCAAATCCTTTCTCCCTCCTCCAAAATCCCTGCTTATTCAAGCTAGAAACCTCTTCTCAATCTGTCATTGGTCTGTCCTTCCCTTCTGCTCCCCTGAGCCCTCATGGAGGCCCTGCTGGCCCCTCCAGGACTCCATAATGCTTCCCCATCAGCTTTGTCAGCTTCCCTCACCGACAGCCAGATGGACTTTCTCTGCCTGAATCTCAGCGCTGCAGCCACCTCAAATCCAGCAAGGCCTTCATAGAGGATGAGACATGAAGCACTAACTGAAGGTCAGAGACTACAGCCTTCAGTATAGATTATACCTCAGATTTTTAAGGAAAAAAAATCTTCACAACTAGACCAATATGCTATGACTTGATAAATGGAGAATAATTGATCTTACCAATAACAGTTTCATTTTATTCAGTTCCACAATCAACACACATGGAAGCAGCGGGCAAGAAATCAAAAGATGCAGTGGGTACATCTAACGTGAAGGACCTTTCTAAAGTGGTAAAGGGCAAGGATGTCATTTTAAAGAACTCAGGTGAGCCTGATCCAAGCATGGTAATATCGATGGCTCCATATGCATATGTAAGCTGGACAATGCGTTAGGAAGACTGAAGAAAACTGATGCCCTGGAATTGTGGTGTTGGTGAGGAGTATTGAATGTACCATGGACAGTAAAAAAAAAAAAAAAAAAGGAAATCAGGTCTTGGGAGAAGTGTGGTCAGAGTACTTCCGAGGGCAAAGATGGCGAGACTTTTTCCTCATACTTTGGGCATGTAGTCAAAAGAAGTCAGTCTATGGAGAAGGGCATCATCCTTAGAAAGTAGAGCGTCAGGGAAGGAGAGAAAGACCCTCATGGGATGGACTGACGCTGTGACTGGACCAGTGGGCACAGCAGGAATGATGAAGATGGTACAGGATTAGATAGTTTCCACTTTCTGTTGTACATAGGACCCCTCTGAGTCGAGCTGGCTCAGCTGCAGTTAATGATTGTCTCTTGTTCACCCTTCTAAGATCTGCCTTAGAAATCACCTCCTCAGGGAAGACCTTTGGCTTCTCTTTCGCAGGTGGCTTTGGGGACTCCTGTCTCCTTATACATGATGGATCTTTGCAATTACAAATCACGAATGCTCAGGAGACATACCCACCTCTCCAGAAGACGGTGAGCTTCTTGGAGAAAGGGGCTGGATCCTGAGTCCCCAAGGCCTGGTCTGGCAGGCCCTCAGGAAGTGATGTGCAGGAAGGGTGACCGTTGTTTTGTAATGCCTCTGCCACTGAGGAGACACTGTTCTTGCTCCCGTCTAGTGGCCAAAGAGAAGGAGGCTTCTGTGATGTGCCAGTCCCTCCCACAGCCACCATCTCCTGGGCTGACCCATGGGGGGTGCTCCTCCTCAGGTCTGGGGCTATCTAAAGATGAGCCTAAGTTGGTGGCTCGCTCTGCTTCTGGAGGATATGTTTCATCAGATTTTACTTTCTTCAGGAGAAATAACTTTGAAATAGGTACAAGAAGCTAACAGCTCAGAGAAACAAGTGTGTGCTATCCCATAGTAATGTCCATTCCATGAGGACCCTCTGCACTGGGTTAAGTCTGGGAAGCTCTATCTAGCCCGGTGAAGCTCTCCTCATGCACGTATGAACAGTGAAGGTGACTAGGCAAGGCTGGTGGTGAGGTCAGAGGGCAGCCTATGGCCCTTCACCTCTATAGGGGCTGAGGAAGATAGTCCAGAGAGAAGACCGCTGAAGAGATCCCTCTGGCTTCCTGCCCTGGAACCTCCAAGCCCAGTCAATGGCCTTCATCCCTCCCCTATACCCCAGCCCAAATAGAGGGTTTGGTCCAAGGAGGGACCTGCATGGGGCTGGACCTAACCTGACGGTGCTGACCAGCCGGCTGTTTTTGGGTCATTTGAGTGCAGGCCAGGCTAAGGGGCTGCATGATAAGACTGGGACTGAAACTGAAGTGCTTGCAACTAGTGAGCTGGGCCTTCCCTTCATCATGTGCACGACCTCCTTTCATCTGGGGCCTGGTACTCAGAGGGCTGATACTCCCTACATCTGCCACCTGGCCTAGACACTACAGGTTGAACTTACTTGTTCTTTCTTAAACAATTTTGTTGCTGAGAGAGGTCTGCTGGGAAGGTGGGCACTTCCTCTAAGTATTTAGGCTCTGTGACTCAGGGATAAGTGACAGCCTACTCATTCCCCTACCTCACTTGTTAATCTGGTTTGGGATTGCTGGACTAAACCTGGATTTGCATTATGTGATATTCTTTGCCTCTCCCACTCCCCAACCTATTTCCCTAATAAACCCTACAACTGTCAGTAAAATCTGTCAGTCAAGTGGCCACGAACATTGGACCCAAGGATTGGTAGAAATAGGTGCAGGAGCATGTGGGGTGGCATGTCTGGCCATGCAGCTATTTCTTTAATACCATGAATATTATCGATGGGGCCAGTTCTCCTTTATGAAATGGGTAGAAGTGATACTTGGCCTTCCCCATTTCCCACTTCTCCTTATACAGCCCCATGCAGTCCAGCTCCACCAGCAGGAAGGTTCCAGGCAGCACAGATACAGTACCTTCTGCTGTGAACCTCCAGGTCTCTGCACCTGCCCTGCTCTTTGCCTTGAATTCCCTTCCTCCTCATTTTCTGTCAGCTTCTCCTCAGCTTTCAGAATTGAACTGAGATGCCACTTCCTCAGGATATCTTCCTAGATCCATTGAGACTGTCTGGGACCCCTCAAGTACTCTCTGTGCTGTGCTCCCACTGGGGACTGGAGCTCAAATGGGCTGCGCGCTCCATCAGGACCCTGCCTGTCTGTTGTGTGGCTAAGGAGACAGTAGCTCTGGGGAGGGCATGTATGTGTTTGTCAGGAGAGAGACAGTAAATGAAGGACTGACTGGGGCATCAGTGAATCTTGCTGCTTCAAGGGCAGCAATGGCAGGAAGGTAGTACAGGTGGGATTGTCTAGGCCCTCTGTGAACAAAGAGTCAGAAGTCAGCCAAGCCCTGAGGAAAGGAGGTGGACAAAAGGTGAGTGTCAGTGCTACCTTTCCAAACAGAACTGGCCAGTGGTTCCCTTCGGGGCTGGGGTTGGATGCAGCTCTGCTTCATCAAAGAGTTCCTGAGAGGAGTCCCCCTGGGACTCCATTATCTAGCTGGGGTCCTTGTTCCCCAAGGAATGCAGTGAAAAGCAATGCATTTTCTGTCAGCTGTCCCACATGCACTTTTGTCCCACGTTTGTTCATGTTCCTTCCACTGTGAACCCAGACAAGTTCCTACCCCAACCCAGCCCGCAGGGGTGGTGAGTGGTAAGGTCAGATCTCTGCCTCCCCTATGCTAAGGCTTTGGTTTTATTCAGGCATCAGTAGGTACATGGCAGCCCAGTGGCAACCAACATCATAAACCTCTAAGATTTAGGAGGTGCCTGGGGTGAGAATCTTGCCCTGACCTGTCTGCCATCCTAGTTCCTTCATGGCTACACTAGGTCCACCTAGTCCAGAGCCCCCACCTTCCTCTCCCTTTGGTGGGGCCCTGAGAAAGAGCAGCCCTCCTGGGGGCTGTCCTGCCCTATTCCTGTGTGTTCCCCACACTGATACACAGAAGTTGCTGTTATTGCAGGAGCCACATAAGAACTGCCACCACTAGAGCTCATTTCTAAAGCTCTGTAGTTAATTATTTTGTCTCTGTGCAACGAAAGGAGGGTAAACAAACAACAA